TTTCACTACGTTGGTACTCTTGGAAAACACAGGCATGGAAACTTCAGTTAAGTGTTACATACTCAACTCGGTGCATGAACATGTGGGGAATGCCTCATTCAACTAAGGTCTTGTTTCACTATGTTAGTATTGTTAGAATACACATGCAGAGATCTATGAGAGAAGTGCAGAAGACTCAACTCTGTGAAACAACACTATGAGGGATGCAGCACTTAGTTACCAGGTTGTTTCACTAAGTTAGCGATGTTTGAAGAATCATGCGTGGAAGAATAAGCTACGTGTTACATACTCAGCTCTGTGAAGGAACACTGTGGGGCATATTTCATTCAACTAACGTCATGATTCACTGTGTACTTCATATTAGAGTACAGTTGTTGAGAACAATGTGGGAAGTGCACTGTGCTCAATCTGTGAAACCACACTATGCCGAATGCAGCATTCAATTACCAGGTTGTTTCACTACGTTGGTACCCTTGGAAAACACAGGCATGAAAAGTTCACTTAAGTGTTACATACTCAACTTGTTGCATGAATACTGTGGGGAACGCCTCATCCAACTAAGGTCTTGTTTCACTATGGAAGTTGTGTTAGAATACATATGCGGAGATCCTGAGGAATGGAAAAAGGCTCAACTTTGTGAAACAACACTATGTGCAATGCAGCATTTAGTTACCAGGTTGTTTCACTAAGTTAGCGTGGAATAATGCGAAAAGAGTTATATACTCAACTCTGTGAAGGAACACTGTGGTGCAGGCCTCATTCAACGAACATCAATATTCACTGATTCCGTAGTGTTGGAACAGAGTTGTGAGACCAAGGTGGGTACTGCACTGTGATCATTCTGAGAAACCACACTATGCGGAATACAGCATTCAATTACCAGGTCGTTTCACTACGTTGGTACTCTTTGAAAACACATGCATGGAAGCTTCAGTTAAGTGTTACATACTCAACTCGGTGCATGAACACTGTGCGGAATGCCTCATTCAACTAAGGTCTTGTTTCACTGTGCTAGTAGTGTTAGAATACACCTGAGGAGACCTATGAGGGAAGTGCAGAAGGCTCAATTCTGTGAAACAACACTGTGGATAATGCAGCACTCAGTTACCTGGTTGTTTCACTAAGTTAGCGATGTTTTAAAAACGCATGCATGGAAGTATAAGGTAAATGTTATATACCTAACTCTGTGAAAGAACACTGTGGAAAACACATCATTCAACAATCATCATCTTTCCCTAAGTGAGTAGTGTTAGAATACACAGGCAAAGACTAGTGAAGGAAGTGCAGTGTGCTCAACTCTGAAATATTACTCTGCAGAATCCTCATTCAGTTACAAATTTGTCTCACTAAGTTGGTAATGTGTAAAACCTCCAGCATGGAAGTATGAATTGAGTGTTATATACTCAACTCTCTGAAAGAACACTGTGCAGAACCCATCATATAACTACCGTCATGTTTCACTAGGTTGATCTTGATTGAAATCACATGCTGAAACCAATGTGGGAAGTGCAGTGTGCTCAACTCTCTGAAAAAAACACTGTGCAGGGTGAATTACTCAGTTACAATCTTGTTTCATGAAGTTAGCAGTGTCTGAAAACACAGGCCTGGAAGTATAAAACGAGTGTTATATCCTCAACTCTATGAAAGAACACTGTGGGGAACCCATCATTCAACTACCTTTATCTTTCACTAGGTATATAGTGATGGAAAACAGATGTTGAGACCAATGAGGGAGGTGTAGTGTGCTCAACTCTGTGAAACAACACTGTGTAGAATAAAAAACCCAGTTACAATCTTGTTTTACTAAGTTAGTAATGTGTGAAAACACAGGCCTGGAAATATAAGATTAGTGTTACATACTCAACTCTGTGAAGGAACAATGTGAGAATGCATTATTTAACTACTATCATGATTCCCTAGGTTGATAGTGAATAAAAACAAATGCTGAGACCAATGAAGGAAGTGCAGGGTGCTCGACTCTGTGAAACAACACTGCGGAATGCAGCATTCATTACCGTATTGTTTCAGAAAGTTAGTAATGTTTGAAAACACACGTATGAAAGAATAAGGTAAGAGTTATATACTTAACTCTGTGAAAGAACACTGTGAAGAACGCATCATTCAAATATCATCATCTTTCACTAAGTGAGTAGTGTTAGAATACAGAGACAAAGACCAATGAGGGAAGTGCAGTGTTCTCAACTCTGTGAAACATTACTCTGCAGAATACAGCATTCAGTTACAAATTTGTTTCACTAAGTTCGTCATGTGTAGAAACACTTGCATGGAAGTATAAATGTATATACTCAACTCTGTGCAAGAACACTGTGGGGAACCCATCATTCAACTGTTTTTTCAGATAGTTGAGCACATCGCACTTCCCACATTGGTCTCAGCATGTGTTTTCAATCACTATCAACCTAAGGAAACATGACGGTAGTTGTATGATGGGTTCCCCTACAGTGTTTTTTCACACAGTTGAGTATATAACACTTACCTTATACTTCCATGCATGTGTTTTCAAACAATACTTACCTTGTTTACAACACAGTGACTGAACGCTGCATTCGGCATAGTGCTTGTTTCTAGATTTGAGCATCCTGCACGTCCCTCATTGGTCTCCACATCTGTTTTCAATCACTATTAACCTAGAGAAACATGACAGTAGTTGAATGATGGGTTCCCCACCGTGTTCTTTCAGAGTTGAGTATATAACACTCAGCTCATACTTCCATGCTGGAGTTTTTACATATTACCAACTTAGTGAGACAAATTTGTACCTGAATGCGGATTCTGCAGAGTAATATTTCACAGAGTTGAGAACACTGCATTTCCCTCATTGGTCTTTGTCTCTGTATTCTAACAGTACTCAGTGAACGATGATGATTGTTGAATGATGTGTTCTCCACAGTGTTCTTACACAGAGTTAGGTACATAAAACTTACCTTATACTTCCAAGCACATGTTTTCAAACATTACTTCTGAAACAACATGGTAACTGAATGCTGCATTCTGCACAGTGTTGGTTCACAGAGTCGAGCACCCTGCACTTCCTTCATTGGTCTCAGCATTTGTTTTCGATCGCTGTCAACCTAAGGAATCATGATGGTAGCTGTATGATGCGTTCTCCACAGTGTTCTTTCACAGAGTTGAGTATATACACTCATCTTATATTTCCATGCAGGAGTTTCAACACATTATCAACTTATTGACACTACGTTGTAACTGAATGCTGGATCTGCAGAATAATGTTTCACACAGTTGAGCACACTGCACTTCCCTCATGGGTCTTAGCCTCTGTATTCTAACACTACTTGCTTAATGAAAGATGATGATAGTTTAATGATGCGTTCTCCAGTGTTCTTTCACAGAGGTAAGTATATAAACACTTTATTTTTTTCATGCATGTGTTTTCAAACATTACTAACTTTGTGAAACAACATGGTAACTGAATGCTGCATTTTCCACAGTGTTGTTTCACAGAGTCAAGCAACCTGCACTTCCTTCATTGGTCTCAGCATTTGATCTTATTCACTACCAACCAAGGGAATCATGATGGAAGTTGAATGATGTATTCCCCTCAGTGTTCCTTCACAGACTTGAGTATATAACACTCATCTTATCCTTCCATGCAGGAGTTTGTACACATTACCAACTTAGTGCAACAAATTTGTAACTGAATGCTGGATTCTGCAGAGTAATGTTTCACAGAGTTGAGCACACTGCACTTCCCTCATTGGTCTTTGCCTCTATATTCTAACACTACTCAGTGAAAGATGATGATAATTGAAATATGCATTTTCCAGTGTTCTTTATATATATATATACACATTACATATATAAATATAAATATATATATATGTAATGTGTATATATATATAAATATACACATTACACATATTATATATATAATATATAAAATGCAATATTATTAATATAATCCACTGGTAAAAAAGATTGAAATCTTGCCTTTTGGAACAACATGGCTGGACCTAAGGACTGTGATGCTAAGTGAAATCAGTCAGACAAAGACAAGTACCATATGATTTCACTCATATGTGGAATTTAAGAAACAAAACAAAGGAGCAAAGGAGCAAAAAGACAGTGAGAGACAAACCAAGAAGCAGCCTCTTAAAGAGAGAACAAAATGATTGTTGCCAGAGGGGACGTGGGTGGCGCTGGATGAGTAAAAAATAAGTCACAGTAGTCCAGAACTATCCAAAACTGGAGAGTGGAGCATCCTCAAACTGGAGGCCATCACTCTGTTCTTCCAGTGGGTGATTGCCTGGCCTAGAACATACTACCATGAACAGTAGGCCCCAAAGATTGAAATGAAATGTGGCTTTGTGAATAGAATGTAGGCTCTGGAGTCATAAACTCTGCCATTTGTTGGCTGAGTGACTTCAGATGTCTCAGCCTTGAAGGGTTTTGTTGTAAACATTACTAAGGATTAAATAAATTTGTACATGTAAATTAGTATCTAATATAAAGCCTCGCTGTTCATTTAGTTTTATTACTCTCCTCATTGTTCACAGAGACTTGAAATCCCTTTCACTGGCTCTTTTTTCCTAGCACCACAAACCTCTTGACTCTATCTTACTATCTAATTCCAACAGCCTGCCTTTACTGTTTTACCCTCCATTTGTTTCAAGGTCCTTCTTTTTAAATAGATATAGGAATTTTTCTCACTTCCAAGTATTAAAAATTTATTAAGTACCTATTTTATAGGAGGTTCTCTGCCTAAAATGTCTGGAAGTTACAAGGATGAAGGAAACAAGCTCTGGCTTTAAAATGTCTGGAAAATAAGAACTTATTCCAGAGCCCAAATAGAGGAAATTCCCTTTCAAAAGCATAAGTTTAAGGTCCCCCCAAATATTCTGAAGTCTTCCCAGTCTCTCGGTCCTCAACTTCCTTTCTTCTTGTCTCTCTGAAGTTCTAGTTCTCTGTTATGACACAGATTCTAGAACCTTCATAGGCCACACTCCTATATTCTGCCTAGGTTTGATTAACCTGAGCCATACAGTTCCTCTGCAGCCCTCTGCATGTTTGTCTACAAAGACCTCTGCCACATCCAAGTTCATATTGCTCAGAAATAGTGAGCTTGGGGTGTTCCTTTTATCTTGATCTCCCTCTGATAAAGAAATCCAGATGACACAGAACCCTCTGAAGACAACACCTGGAAAATGGCAGTCTTGGGTATGGACTGACTCCTTCTCTTAAGTCTCCCTTACCCTACTGACTCAGAAGTCTTCTCTTCAGAGACTGTAATGCTCTTTACCTGCCTGCTTTCTTTCAAATTCAATATCCTTTCTTTCACTCTCATTGATTCCTCTGGGAGCCTGGGGAAAACCATCCAGTTAGTTCAGCTCTAGAGTGAGAACACTGATTTCTCCCTTAGTTTCAGGAGTTTGAACTACTAAGACAAAACAACCATCCTCTGAAACAATAGGAAAATTCCTTAGCCTATTATCTCACTTCTGGTAGTATTGCTCACTTTATAATGTTTCAACTCTTCCTCTTATTTACCTCATAAAAGAAGTGGATTACCTTTTGTTCAACAGCTAGAACATTCCAGACACCATTCAAAGGGAGTACTGCCTTCCAGAGGCTTAATCCAAGTACACCACCTGGGTATCCCTTCCTTCCCCAAGGATTACTTCACATCAGTTATGAAATTTTGGCTTGCCATGAAAAAAGCCAAACTATTTACTATTTATTTTAATGCTCCATTAGGAGCAAATCTCTCAAGGTTATTTTGTTGGGAAATTTTTCTCACATGACCTAACACCTGAAAGATTTGGTAGACATGTGACCAATTTTCCCTAACTGGAGGTGTTTCATTACATCTTGAGGTGAATTCATTTACTGCTTTCTTGGAGCAGCTTAATCCTGGTGTAATTAATTTTCTTAGCCTTTCATAGTTCAGTTATCTCCAGCATTTATCACTGTCACAGGCAGATTTATGATTGGTTTGTTTACTCATTTATTCATTTCCTCCTTCCTTCCCCCCTTTTCCCTTTCTACATCTTTTCTCTTTCTCTCTCTTTCTTCTTTCCCTCACTCCCTCTATTTCTTCCTTTCTTCTGCCCAGAGCTCCTCAGTCTCAGTTCTTCATAACCATAGCAATGTATCTACTTAAGATTTTTCTCTCCAGTTGTACATAAACAGATACAGGTTAGCAGTCCTAGCACGGAATTTTGGGAGAAATCCTATTAACCAAAGTAACAACTGTCACAAATATCTGTCTTATCATGAGAGGCCTTGTGGGTGATGTCTTCTGTTGTGGTTTTCATTAATATGATCATGTTCAGTCAAGGGCCTCTTTTTTGATACCTTACCATGTAAACAATTTTTGAGCACACATTGCTTAAATATGTTATAAAAATTGTTATTAACATACTTATGTACTAATACATGCTTCAAAACTGAAAACCTAGAATTTTTAAAGTTATAAAATTACATAAAAATAGAAATAATATTTTTTCTCACACCCCAGTGAATTACTTTACTTTGCATCACTGATTCCCTCTAACCTTCTGACTACATAGAGTAAGGAATTCAACTGAGGAGAAAAATGTTTCATATTTTCCACTCTCTAAACCAAGGGTATATAGCATCTGAGGTTCTTAGTATCTGGCTAAAAAGACCAATATTAAAAAATGAGAAGGGGAAGGAATGTGGAGACAATAAGATAAGGAACAGAAAGGAATAAAGGAGTTCGAGTAGTAGAAAAGGGGGCAGAGAAGAAATGCCTATTTGGTGAAAACAGTTAAGAGGTGACCAGAAGCTGTCTTTGATAATGATATGGTCTAAATAAGAAAGCCTACAGGTGAATTTTTGTTGCAGAAATAACTTTGGCTATCATCCTGACTCTACTGGGACTTGCCATTCTGGCTATTTTATTAACACGATGGACACGACGCAAACAAAACGGTGAGTAACAAGTCAAAATGGAAATTCTCTGTGAAAGTCACAGTGGAAGGAATACCAAGATTCAGTCTCAGTTTCTACTTAGTTGATAGCTAGAGACTTTGCCAATATTCTGGAAGTCCATTTCAATACATGAACCGAAGAATATTTGACCTACTAGTGATTCCCCCTGCATTTTTAAACTCTGAAAGCTTACATTACCAATAATGTCAACCTCCCAAAAAGTAGATTAAGTTTAACAACAGTAATAACAAGAATACTCTAAAATTATCTGAGATCCAAGGGAAATTATCTGAGGAATGAGGAATAAAAATGGAAAAGACAAGACACTGTGCTAGTAGACACCACTAGTTAGTAGTATATAAAAAGAATTCAAGAATTTTAGTGACTTAATACAGAAGAGATGATAAGAGACAAATATATAGTTATTTGTCAATGAACAAGAGATAGGGCTCATGTAAGCAATAACCTATTTCCATGCCATAACATCTCTCTTTCCAGGATTTTTCTTAGTATCTTCCCTCACTCCCTTCTAGTCAGCTGCATCCCTTCCTTATTTCTCATCCTAGCACCTATGTGAAGGATTAGTGTGGAGGGACAGGTAGAACAGGGCTGGCTGGAGGTGCCTAAAGGAGGTAGGAACTAGTAATGCATCATATCTAGGGGGCCACCTTAGGAGAAAAGAAGCACAGTTTAGAGTGAGAAGAGTTGAGTTAGGAGGAAGAATACCTCTTGCAGGTAGATAACAGTAATACTTTTGCTTGATTCTTCCACAGAAATTGATGTCTCAAGATACAGTTCAGAACAAAGTAAGTACTTAGACCCATGAGAAAAGGGAAGATAGAAAGCATAATGGCATTTACATAAGGACCAAATTTATCTTGTTTACCATTGTACTCCTAGCACCTTGCATAATGCATCATTCCATGAACTAAACTTCTAATTTACTCAGAGAAACCCACTACCAGAGATTTCTATGCAATGCTGAGTGCCAAACTGAATTTGGGCAGAATGAACTAATAGTGGGTAGGTCTGCATGATTCGGAGGCTCTCTTCAGGTGCCTCCTGTGGTACAAGAGCAGCAACATAAATACCAAGCCATGAAAACAGCAGACTCTTCAGGCAATGGAACAGAAGATCTAAATCTGGTAGTGAAGAAAACCTCAGCAAGGTGGGTGGGTAGGAGAATGCAATGTAGGTAGGAATAGCAAGAGTGAATACAACTAATATGATTATGATTGAAAAGAGCAGCAATTTCAAGATGTGAAGAGGTGAAGCAGATTTTCTATGGGAATGTCTAGTGAGATGCCAAAGTTGATGAAAGATAGCCCAAGATTAGTAGGAGCTAAGTGCTGGAGTACCAAAAAGGAAAAGTATTCTGAGGCCCTTCTGATTACTATTTAGCCTGGTGAAACTGATGGCTGGCACAGTCACTTATCTTCTCTTGCTATGTACAGTCCTAGTTAGTGAAGAAAATTAATATCCATCATTATTCACTATCAGGAGTTCATGTCTACATTAGCTCTCAGAGTCTTAAAGCCCCACTCATTTTTTTAAATGTGTTTTTTTTTTTTTAATTTTTATTTCTAGGAGAGAGAGACAGAGAGACAGCGTGAGCAGGGGAGGGTCAGAGAGAGAGGAAGTCACAGACTGAAACAGGCTCCAGACTCTGAGCTGGCAGTCAGCACAGAGCCCGACGCGGGGCTCGAACCCACGAACCGCGAGATCATGACCTAAGCGAAAGTCGGACGCTTAACCGACTAAGCCACCCAGGTGTCCCTGCCCCACTCATTTTCAAGAAGCAAAACCATGGAGTGCTCTCTTCTTTTTCTCCAGGTGCTGGTCTTCTGGACTATGAAGACGGTAGAGGTAAATAGATTAGGAACTACTACAGAATTAATGGAGGAATGTTTTCTTTAGAGCATAAAACGAACTCATCTCCCTTTGAGTATGATTTAAGTCAGCACACCTTTTTCCGTTATAATATCTAACTGCCAATCCATCTGTGTGTATGTTTATATATGTATATAAAAAGGATTTGAGCATTTTTCTCAGAAAAGACAAATATGTCTCCCTCCTAAGACCATTAAAAAAAATCCCTTCCAACTCCTGTTTATCCCAAGATCATGGAAAGGCTTAGAAACCTCTCTGAAAGAATTTCCTGGATGTGTAAAATAGGGATAAAGTACATAAAATTCATGGGTTGTCATAAAGTCTGAATATTATACATGAAAAGGTGCTTTATAAAGCTATAAAGTATAATAGGTGAGCACAACTTATATTATTATCTTCATTTTAGAAAATGAAATTGATATTCAAAAGGTTATGAGACTTACCCAAATTCACCTAACAAAACAAGGTGTTGGATAACAAATCCAGGTTTGTGGCCCTGAGTCCAGTACTCATATTCTCAATTACACTATCTCCACTTGGTTAAGACAAAAAAAGGCTCATTTTATACCGAATTTCAGTATTTATTATTAATATTACTAATATTAAATTAATCAATATTAATAAATTCAGAACAAGCTTATTTGAAGTAAAACATCCAGAAACCTAATGGTTCTAAGTAGATTCCGAGGCACTCTACTTCTTTGTAGGAACACACACACACATGCATGCATACACATGTACACACACACACTACAAGTGTAAGAATTCATATTCCCAAAAGGAGAAAGAAAGTAGCTTGATCACTGCTTGCTGTCATGCCCAACACTTGGCCTCTTGGTCCATGCCTCCTCCTCTTCTATGATTCATCTGTCATGAACAGATGCAGAGCAAAGGGCCATGGCATCATCCCTTTCTTTTCTGAAATGGAATCCAAAGAAAATGGGGAGCATCTGGGAAAAGAGAAAAATCTTCCTAGTTGGATTTAGACATATGATGACACCTTTCTTGATGAGCTGTTAGTAAATTTAATCTGTTTCTTTTCCCCAAAGATTTTCCCTCTCAGAGATCTAAAAGAGGAAGAGGTAAACACATTTTTACCTTACAAGAAAATGATGCAGACATAGTTGTCAAGGTAGAATCTCATTATGTTTTCATCTTGTCTTTCAGGATTCCAACATTTATATTCAACAGAAAGTGGTAAATAAATTAAAAGCTGAATTGCTATGAAATTAATACAGAAATCCATTTATGAGAAATTAATAATCTTATGTTTTTCCTTCAATCCTCTAGACACTTCATATGATGATCGAGGTAGGTTTTAGAGATTAATTTGGAGATTATAGTAAAATTATAAAGGAAAATCAATGCTTTTTAAACTGTTATAACAGGAGGTGCTGTAAAGCCTAGATAAAATAACAGGAAACCAAGGTAATGAATGGAAGATTCTGAGAATTATTCATAAGTGTTCCCTTTCACACTATGAGGTACTTTTATCCCTAGTACCATCCAATTCCTCTTTTATCCACTTACTAATAGGCTAAAAGTAATCTGAGTACTCAAGAAAAATTCAAATGCTAGCCACTCAATGTGACTTTCTTAATATAAATGTTAAGAAATGGAGGAATAAATCCTGAAAATTTGTCACATTACAGTTTTGACTTGTGTACTGAAATTCCAAGAGCATCAAGAAGGGCTATTCTTGTCTGCTGTTGTCATTTATATCTCATTCTTACATCTCAGAATAGTTAATCATCACGACACCACATGAAATCAGTGCAAGAAGCTAATGTAAGGGTACACAGATAAGTAAAATACAATATACAGTATAGGAGAGGAAGAGAATTAACATGCACTCAGTACTTCCTATGTAGTAGCCACTGTTTTGGATGTTTTTCATTTTATTTTAATATCTACAAATGACCCTGTGAACCACACAAGGATGAACTATCCCCAAATCCCCTGTGTCTGTTCAAGGCCTCTTTCAGGTTAGCCTATAGGTTGCTTTGGTACAAATCAAAGAGTGATCCTTTCTCTATGCAGATGCAGCCCCACTCAAGAATACAGCTGGGATTTCAGTCCCCAAATCCCACTGTGCCCTGAACAACCTATACAACCATGTTACAGTGGTCCTGAATATATAGGAGAGGTATCTCATTCTTAACATGTCCAAAACCCAAGGCTTGATCCTGCTACATATAGTTACGGGCACCTGAATTCCCTCAATTGCTCAGGACATCTATCTCTTTAACTTCCTTCTCTCACTCATCCAATCCATCAGCAAGTCACATCCCCACTACTTTCAAATTATATTCCAAATTAGACCATTTTTCACCATGATGGCAGTCTTGGCCCAAGCATCAATATTTCTTTCTTAAACTACTTTAACTGACCCCTAATTGGTATGTCTCTACTCTTGCCCTCTTATAGTCTATTTTCCTCATAGTAAAGATAATCCTTAATAAGCAGCTCTTAAATCAATTAACTTACTATATTTTGTTATCCCAAATTTACAGAAGAGAAATATATGCATGAGAAATGTTAGTGACTTACTTAAAGCTATAGGCCTTGTAAGTCACTCAACCTCAACAGAATTTCAGAAGTGTCTAACTCTAGATTTCATGTAGTTTATTCTTACACAATTTAATAATATCTTATTAGTGTCTTGCTATGGATCTTTAGTGTAGAGCCTGCTATCTTAGCTTCTATTCCAGGCTAACCATGCATTCTTAGGGAAAACTTGGATCAGTAAGCATTTTATTGTGGTCCAAATAAGCCACAATTTAAAATTTAGAAAGCCAAATAGCAACTTATTTCTTTGATTTCCCAATCACCTCTAAGGTGGCCCTATAAACCTCAGTCATCTTGTTTCTAAATTTCCAATCTCTACCAGTCCTCCCTCTATCATCTCTGGACATAGAAATATAAACTTGGTGCTCAACCAGAGACTACAAAAATCTTCTGACAGCAAAATGCTGGACAAGGTCATTATATCAGTTTAGGTGCATGGAATTTAGTAAATTTAAATTTTAAAAATTTGGTATTTAAATATGTCACATGTTACACATATTTTTGAGTTTATTTAAACATTTTTTAAAAAGTTTACATATTTATTTTGAGAGAAAGAAAGAGCATGTGAGCAGGGGAGGGGCAGAGAGAGAATCCCAAGCAGGCTGTAAACTGTCAGTACAGAATCAACATGGGGTTTGAACTCATAAATTGCAACATCGTGACCTGAGCTGAAACTAAGAATCAGATGCTCCAACTGACTGAGCCACCCAGGCACCCCACATGTTATATATTAAAGTCGCCAGAATAATTCAAAAGTTTTCAAAGGCACTGAATTTATTTTTAATGTTACTAATTTTTACAGCAAATGTTAAGTGCAGCACATGAAAATGTTCAGCACCTCTTAGTATTTTCTGTTTTTAAAATACTCACAGAGACCCTGAGTGGCTTTGTTGGTTAAGCATCAGACTTGATTTTGGCTCATGTCATGATCTCATTTGAACCCCTCCACCCCCCGAGTTGGGCCTTGCCCTAAAAGCACAGGGCCTGCTTGGGATTCTCTTCTCTGCCTCTCCATCACTGGCACATGGATGCTCTGTCTCTGTAAAAATAAATTTTAAGATAGATAAATAGATAGATAGATAGATAGATAGATAGATAGATAGATAGATAGAGAAAATATCCACAGAACCAGGAGAAACAAATAACATTAATGTAAACCAGAAGATTTTGTGTGTCCTGGACTTAATCACATCCAATTATGGAAGGAAAGCATTCATTTTAAGAAAGGAGATGAGAAACAAAATACATGCTGTCTTTACATTTCTGTCTAGATCTTTACTTATACATTGGTAAAATATCAAATTAGACCATCACGCAACATAATTTATGTCACTTCCAGATTGTTGGTATTTTTTTATTTTTACACTTTCAACAGAATAGCGAAAATAGCATGACAAGTTTTTGTGTAATTTGCCTTGTCTGTCTCCAGATCTTTTGGAAAATGTTTCCATGACATCACTAAGAAATAAGTTTTAGGCTATAGGATGCACATTGATCACAATGTGTGTGTGTGTGTGTGTGTGTGTGTGTGTGTGTTTGTGTATTCATTATAACTTGCCATCTCTTCATTAAACTTGAAGTCTCAATCAGCTGAGTAAATATTTTGCCATTTTTCTCTTACTTGGCTTCAACTTACTTTATAACTAATATATTCTAATTCAGTGTTTCTTTCCATGTCTAATTTATTATTTCTTCTCACTATGTATTTACCTTCATTAACCTTTGCCTGCTTTTTCTTGTTACTTGACTAATAAGTAAGCCATGAGAAGATGTTGCCTCTGGTTTCTTGACTATTTGACTATTTGAGGGTATGATTGGGTAATCTTCTCTAATGATATAAAAACTACAGAAATAGAATATTCAAACGGATTTTTCTTGGTTTTACTTGTGTTTTTAGAGGGATCCAAAGGAGACTGCAGTAAGTATTAACTTCTTTTTCAACAAAAATTTGCTTCCCATCATAACACTTTTTTAGATTGTAAGCACTTTGAGGGAAGAGAGAAACAATCAGTTCATATGAATATTAAGCAATAGATAGTCTCCGAGTGCTGGTTTAGAATAGTCTGTCAATAATAAACTGTCAGTTTCCCTATCAATAGAACTCCCCTATGACCCAGCAATAGCACTGCTAGGAATTTACCCAAGGGATACAGAAATGCTGAGGCATAGGAGCCCATGTACCCCAATGTTCATAGCAGCACTCTCCACAATAGCTAAAACATGGAAAGAGCCTAAGTGTCCATCAACAGATGAATGGATCAAGAAGATGTGGTTTATCTATACCATGGAATACTACATGGCAATGAGAAACAATGAAATCTGGCCATGTGTAGCAACATGGATGGACCTTGAGGGTGTTATGCTGAGCGAAATAAGTCAGGCAGAGAAGGACAAATATCATATGTGTGCACGTATAGGAGGACTAGGAGGAACTTAACAGAGGACCAACCGGGAGAAGAAGGGGGGAAATGGTGGGGGAAAGGGAGAGAGGCAAACCATGAGAGACTCTTGAATGCTGACAAAAACTGAGGACTGATGGATGTGGGGGGGAGGAGGGATGGGCATGGAGGAGGGCACTTGTGGGGATGAGCACTGGGTGTTATGTGGAAACTAATTTGACAATAAACTATTTGTAAAAAAAAAAATAATAATAATAATAAACTGTCAGTTTCCAAACTTGGTCTGTTGGTTTACATACTAAGAGGAAAGGGGGAAAAATAGAGGAAATGATGAGTGAAGAAAAAGGGAAGAGCTAGAAATAAAATAGGAGAAAAGAAAGGGGGATGGAAAGGAGGGAGGGAGAGATAAGGAGAGAGAAAAATGTAAGCCACAAAGTTTCATAGGAATAACATCTGTCTACTAAAAATTGAACAACCTTATTAGAAATTGAAAGGATGGAGTTGGTGGGAGTGGCCTCCAGTCCTCACCACCAGGTCAAGGGGTCTCCCTGGGCCTGGCCTACAACTCCCAAGAGGGCACAATGACTGACACTGATACGGAAAGGTTGGGGATCAAAATTCCGATGACTCACCTCATGTTTCTGTGTGTTTTAGCACCATCATTCAACTCTGTAGGTAAGTTCCTTGTGGCTTTTCCACTGTCATCTGGTTTGCACAGATAGTTTTTGTATTTGTCTTTTTGTCTCTTAAAGAAGTTCTTAAAATGCAAAACTAACTGACACTTGTAAAGCCACACGCTAGATTTGACAGCTGATATTTTGTCATATTTCTCAGGTGACAGATGATATAGAAATCCCTTTTGTCCCATCCCTATACTCATTCCACTCTCCCCACTTCCCAACTCTTATAAATGTACCATAACACTTTTTAAACTTATTTTCATCTGTTCGTATCTCTATGTGTCACTGAACAATATAAAGTATTGTCTTGTATATATTTATTTAAAATTTTTACTAAAATGACGTCGTTTGAAAATATCATTACAACTTGCTTTTTCCTCCAAAATACTGTAATACTGAAAATATATAAAAATCCAATTTATGCATTTTGAGTGTTAAATAAATATTCCAATATACAAATGTGCTTTTTCTATTCTTTCTCTCCCCTACTGTAGCATTCGCAATGTTTGCAATTTCAGCTATCATAAACATTGCTTGCAAAATGTCCTTAAGTAATTTGGAAAAGTTTATCCAGAGTGGACAACCTGAAATGAGATTAATAAATCTTCATGTATATAACATTTATGTAACTTAAGCACATTTTTACTTTACTAGCTGTTGTTTACCTGAATTCCATGGTAGTTACATAACAGGCACACCAAAATGTGTAAAAGTTTCCCATTTCCCTACATCAGTATAATCCCAATTTTGTCATACTTTCACAATATTGCTACTTTAATATGTTAAAATTTTAATTTCCATGAAACTGAGTATCTCTTTGTTATGTATATTACATAACATAGGCTTCAACTTACACAAACTATTTACTTCCCAATTTATTAATTAGGTTACTGATTTGAAGAAATTCTTTTTTTTCAATTTTATTAAATATTTATTATTTATTTATTTTTAAATAATTTATTGTCAAGTTGGTTTATTTATAACACCCAGTGCTCATCCGAACAAGTGCACTTCCCCATGCCCATCACCACCCTTCCCCTCTCCCTCACCCACATCAACCCTCAGTTTGTTCTCAGCATTCAAAAGTCTCTCATGGTTTGCCTCCCTCCCTCTCCCCAACTATTCTTCTCCTTCTTCTCCCTCATGGTCCTCCGTTAGCTTCCTCCTAATCCACCTATACGTGCAAGCATATGGTATTTGTCCTTCTCTGCCTGACTTATTTCGCTCAGCATAACACCTCTAGTTCCATTCATGTTACTACAAATAGCCAGATATCATTTTTTCTCGTTGCCATGTTGTATTCCATTGTGTAAATATGCCACATCTTCTTGATCCATTCAATAGTTAATGGACACTTAGGTTCTTTCCATGTTTTGGCTATTGTTGAGAATGCTGCTATGAACATTGGGGTACATGTGCTCCTATGCATCAGCACTCCTGTATCCCTTGGCTAAATTCCTAGCAGTGCTATTGCTGGGTCATAGGGGAGTTCTATTGTTAATTTTTGAGGAACCTCCATACTGTTTTCCAGAGGGGTTGCACCAGTTTACATTCCCACAAATATTGTAGGAGGGTGCCCATTTCTCCACATCTTCACCAGCATCTAGAGTCTCCTGATTTGTTCATTTTAGCCACTCTAACCTGTGTGATGTGGTATCTCACTGTGGTTTTGATTTGTATTTCCCTGATGATGAGGAATGCTGAGCTTCATTTCATGTGTCTGTTGGCTATCTGGATGTCCTCTTTGGAGAAGTGTCTGTTCATATCTTCTGCCCATTTCTTAACTGGATTATTTGTTTTTTGGGTGTGGAGTTTGTTGAGTTCCTTAAAGATTTTGGTTACTAGCCCTTTATCTCATATGTCATTTGCAACTACCTTTTCCCATTCTGTCAGTGGCTATTAGTTTTATTGATTGTTTCCTTTGCCATGCAGAAGCTTTTAATCTTGATAAGGTCCCAGTGGTTTTGCTCTTGATTTTTGCTCTTGATTCCCTTGCCTTTGCGAATGTGTCAAGTAGGAAATTGCTGCGGTTGAGGTCAAGGAGGGTTTTTCCCGCTTTCTCTTCTAGGGTTTTGATGGTTTCCTGTCTCACATTCAGGTCCTTTATCCATTTTGAGTTTATTTTTGTGTATGGTGTGAGAAAATGATCTAGTTTCATTCTTCTGCATGTTGTTGTCCAGTTCTCCCAGCACTGTCTGTTAAAGAGACTGTCTTTTTTCATTTGGATACTCTTTCCTGCTTTGTCAAAGATTAGTGGGCCACACATTTGTGGGTCCAATTCTGAGTTCTCATTCTATTACATTGGTCTATGTTTCCGTTTTTGTGCCAATACCATACTGTCTTGATGATGACAGCTTTGTCGTAGAGGCTAAAGTCTGGGATGGCGATGCCTCCTGTTTTAGGTTTCTTCCTCAAGATTACCTTGGCTATTCAGGGTCTTTTTTTGTTCCATACGAATTTTAGGATAGATTGTTCTAGTTTTGAGAAGAATGCTGGTGCAATTTTAATTGGGATTGCATTGAATGGGTAGATTGCTATGGGTAGTAATGACATTTGAGCAATATTTAATCTTCCAACCCATGAGCATGGAATGTTTTTCCATTTCTTTGTGTCTTCTTCAATTTCCTTCATAAGTTTTCTATAGTTTTCATCATACAGATCTCTTATATCCTTGGTTAGGTTTATTCCTAGGTATTTTATGGTTTTTTGTGCAATTGTGAATGTGAATAGTTTCTTGATTTCTCTTTCTGTTGCTTCATTTTTGGAGTATAAGAATGCTACCGATTTCTGTACGTTGATTTTGTACCCTGCAACTTTGTTGAATTCATGGGTCTGTTCTCGTTGGCTTCTGGTGGAGTCTGTCAGGTTTTCCATGTAGAGTATCATGTCGTCTGTGAAAAGTGAAAGCTTGACTTCTTTTTTTTTTTTTGTAATTTTAAGAATTTATTTAAATAAATTTCTTCAAATTGAGTAGCGCCAAACTGAAAGTTGTTAGAAGCACCAAAGGCAGGAGCTAGGAGGGAGTTTCATTAGGCGAAGAGGCAGAAATGAGTACGAACGCTGGTGACTGGCCGTAGCTTAAATCCTAAATGGCTGCCTGTGATTGGTTATCCTCAGGTTTTAATTTGTTAACTTGAGGCATTACAGGCTTAGATTTTGTGTTGCTCCTCCTGTAGGCTGTAAGGGCTTTAAAGTCATCTCAGTGTATTGGTGCCTTGTTTGATTTTTTTTTTTTTTTTTTTACAAATAGTTTATTGTCAAATTAGTTTCCACATAATACTCAGTGCTCATCCCCACAAGTGTCCTCCTCCAAGCCCATCCCCCCTCCCCCCCACATCCACCAGTCCTCAGTTTTTGTCAGCATTCAAGAGTCTCTCATGGTTTGCCTCTCTCCCTTTCCCCCACCATTTCCCCCCTTCTTCTCCCCCTTGTTCCACCGTCAAGTTCCTCCTAATCCTCCTATACGTGCAAACATATGATATTTGTCCATCTCTGCCTGACTTATTTCACTCAGCATAACACCCTCAAGGTCCATCCATGT